TCTCTCTCTCTCTCCCCTTGAGAATCTTGACTCTGAATACATCTGCTACTAACCAGCTCTATTCTACTACTAGCTATGCGGCTATGGCCGCCTGCCCTCTCAGCACAGCGCTGCCCAGCAGGGCTCTCGCGCATGCCTCTCGCAGACAGCGCACAAGCGCTTCAGCAGCACTTCCACACTTCTCACGAATGAGCCTCCCCCTTCAAATGTGGCTGGCCAGTCCTTATATTGACTTGGACTGAGCCTCAACTCGTCTCAGCCTCTGTTTCCTTGGTTTGACTTGGACCTGGTACCACATGCCGACGACCTGTTTGCTTTAGAATGTCAAGGCTTGGTGTGCTGCTGCTTGGGACTATGAGTCACGACTTTTCGTCTGTGGAAAGTGACTTTTGACTGTGGGATGTGACTCTTGCCTCTGGGACACGACTTTTGCCCGGGGAAGTGTCCTTTGCCTACGGAATATGACTTTTCAATATGGGACGTGACTTCTGCTTATAGAATGCAACCTTTCCCTGTGGGATGTGACTCCTAAGGTACCTGACTGTGACTTTCTGAAACTGACCGACTTGGCCTCCCTTGGCCTGAGACCTTGACCCTGGGATTCTAATTTGAGGTCTGCATCATGGAATGCCTTTCAAATCAGCTATTGAACAGTAAAAGGGAGGAACAGGGTACTTCGTGCTAGGTGAATAGCTGTTCCTACAACACATGAGTAGTCCGATAGAACAGAGAAGGAAAGAGAATATCGCGGAGCTACACGGCCCCTTACGTTTTCTACAGCCTCCCTGGTGGTGGGGAAAGGGGTCAGCACAGGTGAGTTGTCAGCCTAGTGCTCAAGTGGTCAGCAGTCCGGCAGCGTCTAGCAAGTCTGCAGGCAGCTGTGCTAGTCAGTCTGTAGAGGACATTCGCGTAAAGCAGTTAGAAGAAGAGCTGAGACAAGAAAGATTGACACAGGAAGCAAGACGTAGAAAACAGGCTCGATCAAACACACAGACAAAGGGTATCATCTGGTCATAGCTTTGCCACAGATTTGCAACGAGGAATCTTTTTATTAAGTTTTTTTTTGTATGGCAAGCCTATCTTTGGTTCTTTTAAAAACGAATAAGAACGAACAGAAGTCAGAAAGTTGGGCTGCAAGAGAAGACACAACACAGAAGGAAAAGACTCTGTACAATGTTGTACTTGGTCTCACACACGGAATTGAGTCTACCGAGCCCAAGCTCGACCGGCTTCTGGCCAGGGCAGCGGTCTCGACAATGACTGTGGCCAAACCCAGGCCGCATGCCTCCCCTGTCTACTGCATAATCGTATTCTCATTTGGTGTGTGATTTGCTTGCCATACGCTGTCGGCTTTACTCTCTTATGCGTGTTCTGCTTCGTACCTTCCACTGCAACAGAAAACTTGCATTCTTTGCATTTGGATGGCTCCATTCTTATTGGTGGGGAGCAGCACCTGCTGGGAAACGGGCCCAGCGTCCCATAACAGCCATTTGCTGGAAACTGTGTCCACCATCCCACTCTTGAAAAGGTTCTCAGAGCGGAAATCAACAGGAGAACAATCAGGCTGTCACGTTCGGAACCTCTATACTGTCCCTTCGCTATCTTTCCTGTTCCATCCCTTTTTCGTAGCTGTTACCAGGCGTGTCACAGTAGGTGGGAGCAGCGGCTAAGGATGGTGGTTCTGTCATGCTAAAAACTTCAGTAACCCAACTTCCCTTTTATCTGGAAGAATGGTGCTGGCCAGCCAACTAGGAAAAAGAAACGACTTACATCTGGCGAGAGCAGGTTAACAGAGGTCTAAATTTTCAGACAATTTGTCATCCCATTCATAAGAAAACCCAAGGGTCATTTTTACAAAACTTGCCACCAATTCATAGAGTGGAGACCACACTCAAGTCTCTTGATAAAGAACGCTCATCTTCTCGCCTTTACTCATAAATACAACCAGACTGTAGCAGCTCTACGATGATGTGACGGCCTATACTACTCCCTTGCTCACTCTCTATATACAGCCTGTTTCTCTCTCTCAGTTTCTTCTGTCTCTGTCCACTCTCCTCTCGCCTAACAATGCTGCAGAGTCTGACCACTTCGAGTGTGCTCTGTGACCATTGCCAGGTAAGTCCGCATGTTCTCACCGCTCTCCTGCTCCACTGATCACCCCAGCCCCAGCACCTCGTCTTTCTCCCAGTGGAGCTTCGGTTGCCAGTGGCGGAGCAGCTATGTTGTGGCTGTTCCTCAACTCCTTCCTCGCTTGAGCACTGGCCTGGCCGCATGTGCTATCAGCTAGAGCTGGCAGCTAGTGCCTCGGAATCTGTGGAACACTGTGGCCTCCCCCCTTCTGTTGCTTTCTGGAGACCATGGCTGCCTGGCTGGGACTGGGCTCGTCCCAGTCTGAGAAACTTTTGGACTGGGTACCAGGGCCTCAGCCATTGTAACTAACTGGGAGGGTGGGCCTACCGGTTAGTTGAGGAGGATGCGCCCAGCTTTCTTCCCACAGCTCGTGCTGGCCTTCACTTAGGGCTGGTGGACCCTTTTTTGCCCCGACCTTACCTCAGGGCCCAAATTTTCTGGGCGGTCCCCGGTGGAGGGCTGCTGAGGCCCGAAGTTGGACATTCTCACCCCCTTAGGTTCAAAGCCCCTCCGCAGAACCCTCAATCTTGCTGTTGCTTTCCTTTTAGACCTCTGTCATAGTGTAGGACCACTTGAGGTGCAGATCTGATTGCAATCAGACTCGTTTCCTCGCTTACTTTGCAGGCAGCAAACAGGTGGCAATCAACACTGGCGCCAGGCGCCCACACAAAGCTCAGAGAAATTACAACCGAGAACACAGTTCAGATACAAACTCGCTTCCCACTTCAACTTTGGGCATCTGCAGACCACCTTGCACAAGACGCTCGGGCAGCGCTTCAGCATGGCGCACAGCAGAATGCATGAATAGCTGGACGCTGCCTCTTGATTTCTACTTCTGTTGGTCGTTGGTCTGCCCCTTTCCACCGGGCCCATGGTGCACAGTCCCACATGGTACTTGCTGACTAGAGAAAGTGAGACTTGGACTGGGTACCGCTGACGATGGCAGAACAGTCAGATTGACATAAGTTGCCCGATGGCAGAACAGTCAGATTGACTAAGTTCAAAGCCAGTAGCATTATAGATACCTATGGCTGCTTGTGTGCATCAGCGTTCTATAACTATTACAAACAGAACCAAGAGGAGGGTATGCACCTAGTGTATGTCTCTAAGAAAGGGGAGGCCGTTAAAACACCCCCAGAGATAGAACACGTCGTTGCTAAGTTCCCTGATCTGTTCGAAGAGCCTACAGGAGTTGTAGAAAGGGAAGTTGTCCACGCTATAGAAATCATTCCAGGGAGTAAAACCCCAAAGGGAAGGATCTATAGGATGGCTCCCGCCGAGTTAGATGAACTTCGGATGAACTTCGGCGACAACTGAAAGAGCTGACAGAGAAGGGATGGATCCGGCCTAGTACTTCCCCTTACGGATCTCCAGTACTATTTGTACCAAAGAAGGGGGGTACATTGAGGATGTGCATTGACTATAGAGGCCTCAATTCCATTACAGTAAAGAACGCAGAGCCTCTACCTCGCATAGACGACCTACTGGATAGGGTGCAGGGATGCAAGTACTATAGCAAGATAGACTTGAAATCCGGCTATCATCAGATCACTATAAGACCTGAGGACCAACACAAGACAGCTTTTCAGACTCGATATGGTCTGTATGAGTTTGAAGTGATGCCCTTTGGTTTTTGCAATGCGTCGGGAACATTCCAGCACACTATGAATCGGATCTTCCATGACCATTTAGATAAGTTTGTCGTGGTTTACCTCGACGACATTCTAATCTTTAGTAAGTCTGTCGAGGAGCATGCACAACACGTTGAGACTGTACTTTCACTCTTGCGACAGCACAAGTATAAGGTTAACCTAGAGAAGTGTGAGTTTGGTCGCACTAAGATATAAGACTTGGGTCATGAAGTATCTGCGGAAGGGATTAGGCCGGAAGATGCGAAGGTGGCTAGTATAAAGGACTGGTCACGACCTCAGACTGTTACTGAGGTCAGACCTTTCTTAGGAACTTCGTGAAGAACTATTCTACAGTCGCCTCTCCTTTGACAGATCTAACTCGACTTGACACGTCGTGGGACTGATGAGTGCGAGGCTGCTTTCAAACGATTGAAGCATGCACTCATTTATCATGAGGTTCTCATGGTGCCCGATCCTCAGAAGCCGTTCATAGTGACCACTGACGCAAGCCAATACGGCATTGGCACAGTGTTGGCTCAGCAGGATGGGAAGAAGTTGAGACCGATTGAGTACATGAGCAAGAAAATGCCATCGAAGAAATTGGCAAAGTCCACCTACGAAAGGGAACTCTATGCTCTCTACAAGGCACTTGTCCATTGGAGACACTTTCTGTTGGGATGGTTCTTCTACTTGAGAACTTACCATCAGACACACAAATGGATCAAGACTCAACCGGCTCTTTCTGATGCACTCAAGCGCTGGATTGAGGTCATAGATCAGTATGACTTCAAGCTTGAGTATCTGAAGGGAGAGTACAACAAGGTTGCAGATGCGCTATCTCGTAGAGCAGACTACCTAGGGGCGCTAGTTTCCAGTTTGGAGTATCTCAGGAAGTGACTCAATCGTTGGTGGGAGCCTATCAGGAAGACCCTGTCACGATGGACATCATTCGCAAACTTCAGGCAAAAGACAAGGCCACAGAAAATGAGTTTGTGATGGTGGATGGCTTACTCTTTCTTGATAAGGCCGGGTGTAAAAGATTAGTAGTTCCATCGAGTGAGAGTTTGCGTAGTTTATTTCTAGGAGAATGTCATGACGCAACTGGACACTTTGGCTACAAGAAGACGAGTGCCAATCTAGTACAACGATTTTGGTGGCCTGGAATGCTAGATGACGCAAAGAAGTATGTAGAGACTTGTCAGGTCTGTCAGCGGGACAAGCCGCGAACTCAGGCACCGCTTGGGATGCTAAAGCCCTTACCTATCCCCGCTGTTCTAGGACAGTGTTTCCATGGATTTCATGGACACCCTGGTGACCAGTAAGAGTGGCAAGAGGCACTTCATCATCGTTCGATTCACCAAGTATGCTAGACTAGTTGCCATGCCAGAGACCACCAGGACGGACCACGTCATCAAGTTGTTTATGGACAACTGGGTGCGTGATTTTGGACTTCCAAAGTCAATCGTTAGTGACAGAGATGTCCGATTCACAAGTGAGCTGTGGAAGAAGACTGCTGAGCAGATGGGAAGTCAACTTCAGATGACTTCAGGGAATCATCCCGAAGCCAACGAGAAGGCCGAACAAATGAACAGAGTTGTACAGCACTTGCTGAGGCATTACATCAAGCCCAGCCAGGATGACTGGGATGAGAAGTTGCCTCTCATCGCCAGCCTGTACAACAATGCTGTACACAGCAGTACCGGCGTCAGTCCTAATCAGCTGCACTTGGGATGGAAGCCTAGATCAGCTCTAGACTTCCTCCTACCTGAGAACCGATCCTCTGCAACTCCAGGCACACTTGAGTATGGTGTGGAGTATAAGAAGTTGCTGCAGCAAGCTGTCGAGCACATCAAGAAATCTCAGCAAGCAATGATTGCTTCTGAGAACAAGCATCGGCGACAATCCTCATTTTAGGTAGGGGAACGTGTCTGGGTCAAGGCTAGTGAGCTAGGACAGGAATTCGGGATCTCTCGTAAACTAATGCCACAATATTTTGGTCCTTGGGAAGTCCTGGATGTAGTGGGGGATGAGATGGATGGTCCTACCTATGTTATCCATATCCCTGGACACCTATGCACTCACCCTGTCTTTCATGCCTCAAAGCTTGCACCTTTCGGTAAGACAGATCAATTCCCTTCAAGGAGATCGATGCTGCCCCCAACCATGGATGGTCAAGTGGACATCGACGACATTGTGGATCACAGAGATCTGCCTGTTCAGAAGCCATTGGGTAGAGGAAGACCTCCTAAACCCAAGAGAGAATATCGCATCAGATTCAGGCATCATACGGATCCAAAGGAAGATCGGTGGTTCACCAGAGAGGAACTGATTGACACAGCTCCTCAGGTGGTGGTTGAATATGAAAGGAAGCTGAAAGGGAAGGCACCTGCGAAGTAAGCATCTTAGCGGACTTTCGAAGCTAAGGGGGATGGAATGTGATGATTGAGCCCTCAAGAAGGGGCCTTGCCATGATGTACATGTTCTGGGCTAAGGCCCCAGCAAGCCTCGTGCCCGCCCTAAGTGAAGGCGGGCCAGCAAATCAACAAGAGCCCTCTGTGCAAACATTTCACGAAGTGTGGTCCATACAGTTGCAGCACGCCAGTTGGTTGGAGTGCACCGAGTCTCGGATCTCTGCAAATGAGGAAATCCCAGGGCCCCTGAGTTGGTTAGGCCCTGGGCACATAAACGTGAGGCCGACAATGCATGCTGGATATAGAGGCCGAAAATGCCAAAGGGAAACCGGTCCACTATCTGAATCTGGCCGCAGGCCTTGACGAAAGAGGCGCAACTGCATCTCBTGGGSCCCCAACTGCATCGGGCCTGGGTACAGGCACTGGGGCCCAGGCACAGGCTCAAGGGAGGCCGCCCACACGCAACACTGGCATATAGGCAAGCAGGGCGAGTGGGCAGGGATCTTGGCCATTGTGGGCAATACCGGCACGCTGCGCGAATGCGACCTGCTGCGCTGCGCTAGGCTGAGGTGCGAGACAGGCAGGCGCTAGGCTGAGGTGCGAGACAGGCAGGCCCCAAGGCTCCACCTTGGGCTGGGTACACAGGAGTGAGGCCGTTTTTAGGCCAGGCGTATTTTTGCGCCTTGCTGCATCAGCAGCATGGTCTGGATGCCCGATAGGGGCCCAGACCGAGTGGGCCGTTTTGAGGCCAGCATCAGGCGCGCCCAGCCCGGCCCAGCGCTACTTATAGCTGGGCAGCGGCTGGGAATACAGACAGTTTGACTAACTCACTTCTTGGGCGACACGCTGCTGGATCAGCACCGCACACGACAGCGCTGCGCTGCATTAGAGGTAGAGGAGTAGGTATGGAGACAGGGCAGAGGCCATACCTGCAGCGTTCGAGTACGTACCTGGGCGCCATAGCTGGACTTGGTTCCAGCGACCTGCTGCACAGCGTACGCTGGCGACGTCAGTACTTGGCAGCAGTTACCTGCAGGTGAGACAGTGAGGAGGACAACATCATCTTCTTCTTCTTCCATATGTTCTCGCCCTCCACCTCTTCTTCTTCTTCTTCTTCTTTCAGAGAGAGAGAGAGAGAGAGAGAGAGTTCAGGCTGAGGTTTCACGGGCATATGCCCAGGATCGGCTTCGACATTTTTTTGTGGCAGACATTGATTGGACACTCGGCCAGGGACTATTTTTTGGACTTCGCTATAGCGATCTTGGTCTTCTCCCTCGCCTCCATCTTCATCTCGCCTCTCCCCATCTCTCATCCGTGGTATCTCCCCCGCATGTGTGTGTGCAAGGATGGACCTTTCTCCTCTCTCTCACACATGTGTGGTGTATGATGGGGTGTTGCGTCAGTATCTGACAGGTCAGATCATATCTTGTTCCGCTGCTCTACATTGTGCTATTTCATATGTATCTGGATGCGCATTGCTTGTTGATGCTTGGCTGACGCTGCCTTGCCCATACGAGTCCATTTCATCACTTTGCGGATCCTTGGCTCCTCCTACATCGCCCAATTGGGCATGCATCTCTCTCTCTCTCTCTCTCTCTCTCTCTCTCTCTCTCTCTCTCTCTCTCTCTCTCTCTCTCTCTCTCTCTCTCTCTCTTCGTCGTTGATGTCTTTGTAGGTGTGTGGCGCCTTCCTCCAGTGGCGCCGCTATGGCGGACGCTTCTCCTTCAATCAGTGCAGCTTCTGCTATGGCGTGCCTCTTCTTCGCGCTATGGCGCACTACTAACGTGGCGCCCAACGACGATGGCATGTGGAACAGCGGGAACCTGCTCCGATACCAATGCAATCAGACCCGTCTTCTCACTCTTTCCGCATGCATGCAAACAGGTGGCAATCAACACTGGCGCAAGGCGCCCACACAAAGCTCAGAGATATTGCAACCGAGAACACAGTTCAGATACAAACTCGCTTTGAATTAGCTATGGCGCCTGAGCGCCTACACTTCACTGTTCCGAATCTGTATTCACAGCAAATGTTCACACACACTCCACTCTGGACCTCCCTGGATGTCCTACGCACACTCACTCTGTATCGTACACACACACACACACACACACACACACACACACACACACACACACACACTGGAAACTAACTCTAAGCTATGGCTGCTATGGCCGCCTTCTACCACTAACTACAAGCAGCGATGGCCGCTCTATCTTCCTTGCAGCCCACTTCAACTTCGGGCATCTGCAGACCACCTCTGTTGGTCGCTGGTCTGCCCCTTTCCACCGGGCCCATGGTGCACACAGTCCCACATGGTACTTGCTGACTAGACAAAGTGAGACTGGGACTGGGTACCACTGACTAAGCAAAGTTGGACTACCTACTTGCTCACTTGCCTCTGGCCTAACATGTAAAACTCTCGAAAGGCCACTTTCGGACCTTCCGGAAGTCTGTGGACTTGGCCTTTCGGAACTGTAGCAGCTATGACCTTGACCTTTCAGACTTGTAGCAGCTACGACCTTGACCTTTACACAGCTGCGACCCCCACTTAACAGACCTACGGATCGAAACCCGACAACTACTTAGTCCTACGACAGACAGCAGTCAACTACCAAGACACAGGTCGTGGGTTCAACACACAGGGTCGACTTGATACTGTATACGGGTGAGTATAGGGCTAGGGATCGAGCCCTGGGATCTGCATCTGCTACTGCAAAGGTGAAAAACGTTTCATGATTAGCTCTTCCCTTGTAAAGCAACTCTCCTTTCAGACCGCTTTCATAGTGTAGGACCACTTGAGGTGCAGACCTGATTAGCTCTTCCCTTGTAAGCCACTCATCTTCTTTAGGGTTTAGATGACCCTCGAAAGCCAACATGCACTGCATCTGTGGCTTGGGTGGCCTTCCTCTGCCACGTGACTTCTGCACAATGTAATAACCTGCTAATTGCAGACTGTGAAACCTGTGCTTTTCTGAGTTTTTGTCACCATTCTGTGTGCTTGTGGGGATCTGGTGTCTGAGTCCGTGTACTGTGTCCGGCTATCTGAGTGCCTGTGTGTGCGTGCATGTGGTTGGTGTGTGAGTATGTGTGTGTTTTGATCCACAGGCCAGGACTTGTACAGCGGGCAGTTTGGAAGGGAGGGTAGGCCCGTGGTAGCCAAAATCAAGTAGCAGTGGGCAGTAAGCAGAAAAGGAGAAAAAGGTAGTACCTTTGGGTAGGCCGAAGTAGTGCCCTGAGGACTAGTACATCTAGGGATAGGTTCTGGTAGGTATCGGCCTGAACGAGTCCAAGTCTAGCTCCTACCCGTGGGATATCAGCCTGCAATGATGTTCCCACCAAAACGGAATGGGACTGGTAGCGCCTAGAGGCAGTGCTGGTTGGAAAGTCACCACGGAGTGAGGACAGCAGACAAGTATATGAAGATGAGCGGTGAGTTGCTCCGCCTCATTCTTTGCAAGGCCAGGCAGCAATGCTGCTGGACTGGGAGCTTGGCGAGTGGAGCGCCAAGCAGAAGCAGCAAGATGGAAGTGCCACTCACCCTGGCTATGATATTTAGAGCCAGGGCGATGATGGAGAAGGGCATGGCTATGGAGGGTGGAAGGAGGAGGAAGAAGGTGAAGGCTTATCTTGGTGGCTATAGTAAAAGGCGAAGGCTTACCTTCGTGGCTATGGTGGATTGCATCTTCACTTGGAAAGCCTCTGGTTGGGGTTCCGATGTATGGACTCCAAATGCTGAAGTAGGCTTGGTGGTAGAAAAGGGAGGAGCCAAATGAGCTTTCCATTGTCCTTTAAACACCCGGGCTAGGCCTGGATGAGCCGCCATAGCCCAACCAAGTAGAAGTAAGAGGTGTAGGAGGCTTGAGATGCACTTCCTGTGATGCCGGCAGTAAGGGGGAGATTCAGACATTTGATTCTGGCTCATTCATTCATTGTTATTGTTTATTATTATTAACCAGTGTTGGACCCCCCGACCCGCCGACTGATCGGCTGGTTGGCACCTACCGGTCGGGGGTCATCGGCACCCCGCAAAATAATAATAATAATAATAATAATATGCCAATATGGCCCATTCCCATGCCCGTAGTGCACACAGTCCCATGCGGTACTTGTTTGACTGGACTAGGACTGACTGGGACTGGGACTGCTGACTCAGCACGGGTAGACTCCACCACTTGCTCACTTGCCTCAGCCTAAACGTGAGCAACTTCGAAAGACCACTGCTAGGACCTTCCGGAAGGCCGTGGACTTGGCCTTTCGTTACTGTAGCAGCTACGACCTTGACCTTTCAGGACTGTAGCCACTACGACCTTGACTCTTCAGAAGCTCTACAGCTACGACTTCCAGAACTGCCTAAGACTTCTACTTGACAGGTCTACAGATCGAACCCCTGCTACCTACGGACCCTACGACAGTCTACCAACTGTTACAAATACACAGGTCACAGGTTCAATTCTAGGGGTCAACACAAATACTGTACACAGGTAACGTGATGACTAGGGATCGAGCTCTGGGATCTGCATCGGCTACTGCGAACAGGTGAATACCGTTTCACTCCTGCCGGCCTAAATTCGAGGTCTTCCGAGAATAACTCAGTCCAAGGCCGGACCTTTTCCTTTCTTATCTCTCTCATAGGCTCTTACTATGTCGGGAGCTGTTTCTAGAAGTTCTGTTCCAGTAAACCAGCGGACGTCCTCTGGCTCCTGATCAGCAAATCGGACCTAAAATTGTTTCTGTGGACGACCTCTACCTCCTGTTCTAAACACATCTTCACCTACGATGCTGTACCTCCCATCCATGTCTGGAGGGATCATGGACCGTCTAGATGGGAACTGCTGACTTGTGAACTTGCTCCAGTATCTTGTTCATTTGATCAATCTGACCGTTAGTCTCTGGATGACGGTCAGACGACATCAACAACTTGGATCCATAGACTTTCATCAGTTCCTGCCAGTTCTGACTTGTAAAGCGGCTATCTCTATCGCTAACTATAGACAACGGGATGCCATGCTCACTAACCCAAAAATCAAAAAAACTTCTGGATTACTAACTCAGTACGTGCCTCTGCAGGCAAAGGAACAAAAACAGCGTATTTGCTAAATCTGTCAACTATGACCATGACTTGGCTCTTGCCGTGCCTACTCTTGACTTGAGTATCCATAAAGTCAATGGACACAGAGTCTCCGGGCTGGTCAGGAATAGGCAGGGGTCTGAGAAGACCTAGAGGGGCACGCGTAGTAGTCTTGTTCCTCTGACACACTTTGCAACTGCGAACATACTCTACGCAGTCGGCTTTCATTTCTGGCCAAATATAGACGTGCATTAGATTGGCTAAATTCTTTTGCCAACCGAAATGTCCCTCTTTGTCGTGGCATTCCCCTAGGATCAAACTACGGATCGCCTCGCTGTTAGGGACACACAGACGGTCTACTACATTAGTCTTCTCAAATAGTAACCCCTCTGTAGTGCGGTAATCTGGTTCAGTCTCTGGGGCCTCCTTAACTCTCTTGAGGAGGTCGCTATAGATAGGGTCCTGCGCATACTCCTGTCTAACTTTCTCCTGAAGGTCACTCCTTATAACCAGATAGTGGACTATAGCTCCAAAGTAGTCTGATCTCCTACTTAGAGCATCCGCAACTACATTGTACTTGCCTTTAACAGGCTTGAGCTCGAAGTCATATTGGTCTATCTCAACGGCCCACCTAGTCAACTTAGGTGTCATCTTGGCCTGTGTCTTCAACCATCTAAGGGTCTCATGGTACGAATACACCTTGAAGTGCCTCCCAAGCAGGTAATGCTTCTAGTGCTCTAAAGCCTGCTTGAGAGCGTAGAGTTCTCTCTCGTATGTCAAGGTAGCTACCTTCTCTGAGGGCATCCTCGCTGACATGAACTCTACGGGTCTGTAGCCATTGTCGTCGTCCTGCTGTAATACGGCGCCTATTCCATACTGACTCGCGTCTGTGGTGACGACAAATGGCAAGGACGGATCTGCTACTTTGAGGACATGGTACTCTATCAACGCGCGCTTTAACTTCTTTAGCGCAGACCTGCAGTCTTTATCTCATTGCCAGATTGCCTCTTTCTTGAGCAACCTGCGAAGGGGAGCGGCGATAGTCGAGAAGTTCCTCACGAACTTCCTATAGTAGTTAGCCAAACCTAGGAGCGATCGCAATTCCGTTAATGTGCGGGGCGTCGACCAATCTCTAATCGCCGTTATCTTACTGTCCGCAGGCTTAATGCCATCTCCGTCTAACACGTGGCCCAAGTACAAGACTTGTGTCTTGGCCCGCTCACACTTCTTCGCGTTGATCTTGAAGTTAGCCTCTCTTAGCTTCTCCAAGACCTGCCTCAAATGACCCTGATGCTCTTGGAGGGTCCTACCGAACACTAAGATGTCATCTAAACACACTACGAGAAATCTATCTAACCAAGGCCTAAATAGATTATTCATACAGCGCTGGAATGTAGCAGGCGCGTTGGTAAGTCCAAAGGGCATCACTATAAACTCGTAATGCCCATTTCGAGTCCAGAATGCAGTCTTGTACTGGTCATCAGGATGGACCTCTATCTGATGATACCCGCATAGTGCGGTTGTCTCTAATGCCCATTCTCTAGGCGGAAATACGCCTGGACTCCGTCTACGTAGTCCTCAACACGCATAGTGCCCATTGAATACGCCTGGACTCCGTCTACGTAGTCCTCAAGGCGGAAATACGC